GAGACTCACAGCCTAGACATTTCATCCTTGACTTCTCACTCACACCCTCATATCTGTTCTGTTCCCAAGACCTGTTGATTTCACCTTTATAACATCTCTCACATTGATCCCCATCTTTCCTCTGACACTGCCACCACCTGGGTACAGGCCCTTATTACATTAAACCTAGACTATCTCAAAATCTGTGTTTGGACCCTGCCTCAAGTCCCTCCCCACTCAGCTGCCAAACTAATGTTGTTATAATGCAGATCTGACCCTGCCACTCCCCTACTCTATAAACTCTAGGGGCTCTCTGTAACCGCTAAGATCAAAGGTAAAATCCTCTGGTTGGCATTTAAAGCCCTTCAAGACTTGCCCCTCTTCTATCTTTCCAGTCTTCTTACACTTTACTGTTCCCTGCCCCACAGGCACTTAGTGATACAGTGACATTGATGGCCTTACTATTCCTCAAATAAAACACTCCATCTCCAAACACTGGCTGTCCCCATGAATGAAATGCTCTGCCTGCTCATCTCCACCTCCTCACTTCCCTGGATTCCTTCCAGTCCCAGCTAAAGCCTTTCCTGATCCCTCTTAACACTAGTGCCTTATCTCTGTTGACTATCTTCAATTTATCCTGTGCAGTATATATACATTTTTGTACATAGTTGTTTTCATGTTGTCTCTCCCTTTTGATTTTGACCTCTTGAGGGAAGGGATTTGTCTTTTGCCTTTCTTTGCATCTCCAGTGGTTAGCACAGTGCCTGGCAAAGACACCACTCACTAACTAGAACTCCTAAATCTATCTTCATTCTTCAGGGCAGCTCAGGCATCTTGTGGGGGGTGGGTCAGAGCAGCTCTTATGTTTTACAAAGAGGGGTGGGAGCCTGCTCAGACAAGTCTGATTGGTTTTCCATCCATGAGGTCACAGGTGGGGAGACCCCAATCAGCTAGGAAATTGAATATTTCTTGCTTAGATGGTTCCAAGTATAGTTTTCAGATAAAGCAAGTGCTTAATAAATGTTTATTTGTTTGATTGATTGATCAGATATGGGGGATTGGGACAGAAGGGAGGGTGTGTGGCTTAAGTACAGAAAGTTTGTTGAATAGGGAAATAATAAGCTGGGGGCTCGAATGGGGATTTTTCTAGACCACGACATTATAGTGTACATGTATGGACCTGTACTTCTGTTTTTATTCCTGACACTATACTTTTAAGTCATTTTCAGGATGCTTTACAATGTGGAGAAAAAAGTTAACTTCTCCCACAGTGAATTTCAGCAAGGAACTGGTGAACTTGCTGTCCTTTAAATTCTGTGGGATTAAATATTCATTCTTCCTGACTGAAGTAATTAAGAATTGAGGATAACTGTTTTACTGATTTCAGTGGTGAGAAAGGGAGAGATTAGCCATAGGAAGACCAGTGGGCAAAAGTTACAGGAAGGAAGATCTTGTTTCAAGATAAGGAAGAATGATAGATCTTTAAATGGGTTAATGGCTGTCTTGAGTGAGTTCCATACCATTGAAAATGGTGAAGCAGAGCCTGGATGACCAACTGTTGGATGTTATGGAGGGTATATGTCTGTCCACCTCTAGGTTGGACTAAATGCCCTTTAAGGTTCAACTCAAATTTCTATGATCCTCTGATATTAGTCCTCCTCCTTGTGAAGGAGGCATTGTAATGAAAGGAGCATGGATTCAGAGGATCGGGGTTCAAATCCTTCGTATGCTACTTACTACTTGTATGACTTTGGGAAGTTTACTTAAATCAATCAACAAGCATTTATTAAGTGATGATATTTACCAAGCACTGTGATAAACCCTGGGAATACAAAGAAAAAGCAAAAAGATGCTTACATTCTAATGGGGGAGACAACATACATAAATCAGAATGTTTAAGATAATTACTAAATAGATGGAAAGCAACCTCCCATTGCAGGGCTTGGCATGACTATCATTAGCAGTTGAGGGAACCAAGAAAGGCCTCCTGGAGGAGATGGTGCTTGAGCTGAGTCTTAAGAGAAGTCAGGGATTCCAAGAGAGAGATTCGAGGTGGAGTGTCAGGTGCAAGGAACAGCAAGTAAGCCAGGATTGCTGGTTCACAGAATGTGTGGAAGGGAGTAATCCTAAAAAGATTAGAAAAATAGGAAGGGGCCAGGCTGTGAAAACCTTTAACAAAGTACTATAATTTTGATCCTTGAGGTAACAGAGAGCCAGTAAGGATTATTGAGTAAGGGGTGACATAGTTAGACCTACATTTTAGGAAAACCACTTTAGCAGTTGAGTGGAGGAAAGATTAGAGTAGGGAGAGACCCGAAAACAGATTGTTGCAATAGTCTAGGCAAGAGATGATGAAAATCTGAACTAGAGTTGTGGCTGTGTTAATGGAGGGTGTATTTAAGAGCTGTCGTAGAGAAGAAATTACAAGATTTGTCACCTGAATAGATATGATGAGTGACAGAGATCATAGTTGAGGATGACACCAAGGTTGCAAATGGGTGAATGGAAGGAAGATTCCAGAAATTGGAAGTTCAAAAGAAGAGACTGTTTGGGGAAAAGATAATGAGTTTTGTTTCGGACATCTTAAGTTTGAGATGCCTATGGGACAACTAATTTGAAATGTCACTTAGGCAGTCAGTGATGTGGGACTGGAGCTTAAGAGGAGAAACTGGACAGAGATAAATAGATCTAGGAATCATCTGAATAGAGATGATAATTGTGCCCATGGGAAGGAGATGAGATCACCAAGTGATGGAATATAGAGAAGAGGGCCCAAGATAGAGTCTTGGGAGACACCTGGCATAAAAATCCAGCAAAAGGGGCTAGGTAAGAAAACCAAGAGCCCTGAACCATGAAAACCCAAAGAGGAGATAGTACCTAGTAAGAGAAAGTATAACTGGCAAAAATGCTGCTATGGAAAAGTCAAGAGTAATGATAGAGAAGAAGCCATTATATTTGGCAATTATAATATCACTGGTAACTTTGGAGAGAGCAATTTCATTTGAATGATGAGGTGAGAAACCAGACTGTAGAGCAGGGGTTCTTAACCTGGGATACATGATTTTTTATTTAATATTTTGATAATTATGTTTAAATATAATTGGCTTCCTTTGTAATCCTATGTATTTTATGTTATTCATTCAAAAATACTATTCTGACGATTCCATAGGCTTCAACAGACTGCCAAAGGTGTCCATGACACCTTTGTATCTCTTATCATTGGGGTTTAGAAGAGATTGAATGGAAAGAGAGAAAGTATAAGCACTGATTGGAATGAGCTTTTTCAAGGAGTTTAGCCATGAAAAGGAGGAGAAATGTAAAACAATAAAGCTGTCAGGCCTGGTAGGATCTAGAGAGGGTTTTTTAAATACTTGGGCATGTTTTTAGCGACAGGGAATGAGTGGTAGGTAAGGAGAGATTGACAATTAAAGAAAAAATAGGAAGACAGAGGGGGCAATCTGCCATTGAAGATGGAGTGTGGGGAATCAAGAGTACATGTAAAAGCATACTTCTAAAGCAGAAAAGCAACCTCATCATGGGAGGAATAAAGAAGGAGATGGGGGAGGGGAGACCTCTCTGAATCTTATTTCCTTCATTTGTAAAATGAGGACATTCCCTAAATGATCTCTGAGGTCCCTTTTGACTCATACCTTGAGCAGATGCCCACCTTGTCTGCCCCTAATCCCTACTGTTTTACTCTTCCTTCTCCTTGCCTCCTGGACTCTGTGTATTAGCTAAATTGGACACCTCTGTCCTCCAAACATGCCATGTTTTCTCCCTACACTATGCATTTACTCACGCTGTTTCCTATGACTAGCATACCCTCTTTTCCCTCCCAACCTGTTGACAATCTTAGGAGATCAATCCCATCCAATAAAGCACAACTCAATTGGCATGTCCTCCAGGAAGCTTTTCTTAATCTTTTCGGTAAGGAACATATCCCTCTGCCTTCACCTATCTAATGTATTTATCATGGTTTATTGTCTGTTACAGTTATCTATTCATGATCCATATCCCAACCAGAATGCAACCTCTATGAGGGCAGAGATCATGTTTTATCTCAACTTTATACCCTTCCATAACACAGTATTCTGCACACAGTGGGTGCTTAATCAGTATTCATCTATTGTTTTAAAGACAGCCTTACCTGTGTTCTCTAATGCTCTTCACCAGAATAAGAAGTGAAAAATCCATTTGAGGAAAACTTGCCACTGTCTACTCTCTAGCTATTTTTCTTTTCCCCTAGAGGGTTGCTTCAGGCAGAAACTTTCACACAAATGTAATTAATTTGCACATTTTAAAATTCATAAAATGGAACCCTAGCCATTGACTTCTCCCTTCTGATCCTTTCATCTCTTCGCTGGGCTGCTTTTTTCAAGCATGCATGGCAGTGCCCTCCCTTTTCCTGTAGCTCCTCTTATGTTCATTCCCTCTTTTCTTGGTGGGAAAGGCCCTGAACTAGGCAGAGAGTGGCACAGATTGGGCTGGTCCTGGTTTGGATCCAAACTATCACCTGCATGGTCCCCTGCTACCTACTGACATAGGTATCAACCCCTTACTGGCTGTTCTAGGCTGGTATGTATAAATTTGTAGACAAGAATTAAAAGTAATTTCTCTTTCAGGGACTCTCTCACCTGGATAGGCTACATGGCAAGGAGCCCATGGTATGGATGAGATTTGGCTCCTTTTATCCTAAGCACCCTGCGAGCCAGTTTGCCTTTTCTCCTGCTCCAGAAGAGTAATGGCCAAATCTATCACCACTACCCCATACCCCTTTTTACCAAAATGTGAGAAATTGTGGCCTGGAGTATGCCTTTCCCCATTTCTCAGTATCCTCATCTCTGAGACCAGGCAATCACCCTGAGCTGTGAGGCTGCCCACATGGCTGTAGGGTGCTTTGGAAACCAGGGGTGAATGCCAAGTTGCACTTGTGTCTTATCACCCAGCAGGTGTCCTGGTCACCAAGGTGGAGTAACTGCAATGAAATCTCATGGGTTATGTCTCTTTTTATTTTTTTGAAGGTGATAAGAAGACTGAAACAAGTAAAGCTGCTGATGAATCCGAAAAGACCATTCCAGAAGGAGTAGTGGTCAATGGAAAAGAGGAAGACCAGACAGTAGAAGAAGCTCTCAGCAAAGGAATGAGTCAGATGACTACCAATGCTGACACAGATGTGGATGCCTCCAAGGAAAAAACTGAGTCAGTCACCAGTGGTCCCATGTCCCCAGAAGGCTCACCCTCTAAGTCCCCATCCAAGAAGAAAAAGAAATTCCGAACCCCATCCTTTCTGAAAAAAAGCAAAAAGAAGGAGAAAGTGGAATCCTGATTTTCCCACCCTCAGGCCCCCACTTGCTTCTCCTTCTTTCCTGCCCCTTCCCTCCCCCTGTCTCTGTCTCTGAAAGTACAGAGCCACGGAAGGATAGAGTAAGATGTAGACTTGTACAGCTGGAAGAGACCTTAGAATTCATCTAGTACCATCCTTTCAGTTGACAGAGGAGGACACTGAGGCTCATCAGGGGGAAGTGACTTGTCCAGGGTCACATACTAGTTAGTGGCAGAGCCAGGACTAGAACCCAGGTCTTTTGATTCCCGGTCCAGTGTTCTTTCTACTGTGGCAATGCTGCCTAGCTGCAAGCTGCCTTTGTTAGAATGGTGCCCGCCAATACTGAGCCAAAGGCTGGAGAGCAGGAACGGCTCTCAACCTCTCACACTCTCAAGCTAAATGTGAGAGGGTGGGAGCTTTCCCAGCTCATAATCTACTCTCTCTCTCAGGAACCTAGTTTCCTATTGATATAGCTGTAGCTAACAGAAATCATTTTGTCTTTCTTCATTTGGGGTTCCCATCACCTCTGCTTGAGGACCTAAACACACTTTTCTGTACCCTAAGCAAATGTTAATTTTCACTTTTCTATTTGTAAGGGCTCATTGTTTGGTCTGTACTTCCCTGGCTACTAGACCCTGAGCTCTAAGGAAAACACCTCTTTTCATAATGTGTGTGTGTGTGTGTGTGAGAGAGAGAGAGAAAGAGAGAGAGAGAGAGAGAGAGAGAGAGAGAGAGAGAGAGAGAGAGAGAGAGAGAGAGAGAGGGAGAGAGAGAGAGAGAGAGAGAGAGAGAGAGAAGGAGAGAAGGAGAGAGAGAGAGAAGGGGAGAGAGAGAGAGAGAGAGAGAGAGAGAGAGAGAGAGAGAGAGAGAGAGAGAGAGAGAAGAGTGAGCGTGCACCCTGGCAAGAGTTGACAGAAATGAGTGGAAGAGTAAAGGTATCTGAATTCAGGGAAGATAAGTGGGACTGAAAGCTTAAGCATCTGCTTGCTCAACAACCAAAGAATATCATTTTGGTTTTATTAATATGAAAAGGTCAGAATTTCTTGTCCCCTTGAAACTCTAGAGGTTGAGCCCACATCTGACAAAGGTGGAGGGCAGGGGAAGATGCCCCATCATGGAGGGCAGAGATTGGGGAAGCCTAGGACCTCTGCTTGATTTTGGATTTCAGAAAATGAGGTTGGATGTACTATCCCTTCCTTGTCCTACAGGGAAGGCACAAGTCTTACCTCCCCTAATCAATATTTGGTTGTTATGCTGCCCTTGGGGATTGAGCCCTGCTGGTTAAAGATCATTTCCTTTAAAACCAGGACCCTTTGTTTATAAGACCAGAATCAATGTCCTTCCATTTAGTAAGCTACCTGTCCCCCCCCAGGTTATCACTAGGTCTGAGAGAAATTACTTTGGATCTACCAGAGATGGAAGGGTTCAAAAGCCACCTGAAGCTAGGCAGCTTAGGCCAATACTGGGGAAATGCTTCAATCTCCCCACCATTTCTAAAAACACAGCCTATATCCTCAATCCATTCTAGGACCTGATAAAAGCTGCAAAGTTGTTTATTTTTTAATACCAGCACTACCTTTTAAAAAACATTTTGTCATGGGGCATTTAATAAAGGAAGCTCTAGGAAAGAGGTGTATTATTTTCCTTGCTAGGCAGTGATATTTAAGAAATCTTCTACTCTGACCCAATTAGTATTAAAAGAAAGAAAGGAAACAACCCACCAAATCTACAAGAAGATTTTTCAGTACCAAGTGCTATTGTTAGTTTAGAATCACTATTGATCTTTACTCTCCTGTTTAATAAGAACAGGAAATGGAGTGAGTAAAAAACTCCACCTGACCTCCCTGGTGAACTATTGGCTCACCATGCTGTCAGTGAGAGAGATGCTAATGATAATACCAACATGCAGTTGTGTCCTGGTGAGCAACAAGGGCTTCTTGGCTAAATTAGAGGTTAGCAGTGAAAGCTCAGAATGGGAGTCTGAATGAGGAAAGGTGATTTTGTTTCTTTCTGTGGTCATATGAAAATCAAAGCCCTTCATGTCACTAGGAACCCAGACTCCCAGATACTGCTTCTTCGGGACAAGTCCTTTCAGATTCAACAAGAGATGAACTCCTCTATGTTGACCAAGTGACTAGAGGGAGTCCAAAAACATTGGAGAGCAGACATGCCCATCCTTGGAATCATATTCACAGAATCTGAGCACTGGAAGGGACCTCAGAGGTCATCTAATCTAAACCATATCTGCACATAATCTAAACCATGATATCTCTAACAAGTGGTCATTAAACTTTCTCTTGATGATCTGTTATTGGAGCACTTACAACATCCCCCAAATACCCCATTCCTCTTTTGGATAGCTTAAGTTGATTGAAAGTCTTTTATCAAGCCAATATGTCTTCCTTACATGTACATTATACCCCTATAATTCTCTCCTGTTGTTCCTAGGTCTGTAGACTGGGGCCAGCCAAAACAAATCTAACTCTTTGTCCACACGACTGCTTTCAAAATATCTGTAGATAGCAATCACAAATCCCCTAGGCCTTCTCATCTCCAGACTAAATAGAGCCAATTCCCTTTCTTTTCTTTTTAAAATAGTAGCAGGTGCACATGTAAGTAAATATACTGGTTTTAATCCCCCAAAGTCCATACAATGTGACTAGAATGAAATGCCTTATAATAAGGCCATTTTGGAACTTCAGTAACGTGGGCAGCATAGCATTTTAGGGGACTGAGTGTTTAACTTGGAGTCAAGAAAGATATGGGCTTAAATCCCAAATTGACAATTAACTGTGTGACCACAGGAAAATAATTTCAAATCTCTGAGCCCCACTTTCCTCACTTAAAAAATGGGTTTGATAATGCCTGTAATACCTCACAATATCATGAAGTTCAAATCAGTCAAAACGTAAAATACTATGTTTATAATTATAATTATTATAATTATTAAGCCCCATTGGATGTGGTCCAAGAATGAGCTGTCTCATGCTAACTTTTGTTCTATATCAGAGAGCAAAGTTCTCATGTGGAATCCATATCTATAAGGTTCTGAAATGTTCAAAATGGAAGAGACCTTATAGTCTAATACAATCCTCTTGTTCTACAGATGAGGAAACTGAGGCCCAGAAACATTCTGACTTACCCAAGTTCACAGAGCTATTAAGTGGCAGAACTGAGATTTGAATGCAGGTTTTCCATTTCAAGTCCAGGTGTTCTTTCCATTTCCCAGTGCTACTTAGGAGAGCGTTTTAGTGAAGAGATAGAGGAAAGTGTCAGAAAAGTTGAAGGTTAGTATAACTATTTCCTGTTCTATTTGGATTTAAGGCAGAAAACATCAAAATATCTTTCCAAACACCTTTTTAATTTGCCCAGTGGAAAAGGTATAGTCCTGTCCATAAAAATAAGTATGCTTTAGGGTAACAGGCAGTGTGGCTGTTTTTTCCTTTACTTCTAGAGGAAATAATTCTGAAAAGAATTCGTAGGAGGAGGATCGATGATTAGTTTTAAAATGTTATCAGTTCATATATGGAGTAGGAAAAAGAAATGAGGAAAAAAATCATTCTGACTTTAAGTTAATATCATAGTTATTTAGTTTCAGAGAGTACCTGGCTGAGCACAGAAGTAGGCAACATAGCATAGATCACAAGATATGGATTTGAAATTAAGCTCAAAGGTCATCTTGTTCGACTGCCACTCTACAGAGGAGGAAACTGAGGCCCAGAAAAGATGTGGAAGTTGCTCAAGATCATATAGATATTAAGCAGCAGAGCCAACATTTGAACACAAATCTTCTGACTCCAGCCCTAATGTTCTTTCCACTATATCATGGAGAAATCAGTGAGAAAGAGAACATCTTCAGTATGCTGCTTCCCTGGTATTTCTGTTCTATCCTTTAGCTAACTGCATGGATCATTTAATCTATAGAAAGAGCCCTGAATATGGAGCTAGAAGAGCTAGGTTCAAATTCTGGCTCTTCTACTCACTCCCTGTGTGACCTTGGACAAGTCACTTAATGTCCCTACGTTTTAGTTTTCTCACCTATAAGATGCAGGAGTTGGACAAAGTGACCTCTCTGGTCCCTTTCAGCTTTATATCCATGATCCTTGACCTATCCCTAAACTTTCGAAAGGAAGCCTCTTTGAGGTGGCATTTAACGATAGCTATGCCTAGGCAAATGCCCAGGCAAGCTCTGCTGTAAGGTTGGGCTAATTTCCTAGAAATGAATTAGGCAGACACCGATTTCCCACTCCAACTTCTAGCTCGATCTCCTAGCCTGACTTTAAGGCTCTCTGGAGCCTTTTGGTTTATCATAATTTTTTTTTTAATTGTGGCTTTCTGCCTCTCAGTCAAGTAATCCACTTATGCCACTTCTTCCTCCCAGTTCAATTGAACAACCAAAAACAAACAAACAAAAAAACCCAACCCTACTATAGAGTAGTTCCTCTACTATAGGCATAAGATGAATGTATTTAAATCATTTTGGGAAATACTAGAAAGAATAAAGAGATGATTTTAACAAACCCCACCTTTATAAACAATTTGTTATGCCATAGATTCTTTTATATTTGAGGTCAAATCATGTAACCCATAAACACAGGGATCAAACAGGATTGTAAACTTGGAGCTGAAAGGGACCTCAGAAGTTTTCTATCCAACTCCCTCAGATAAAAGATGAGGAATTTGAGGTTTAGAGTAGCTAAGGGACCTGCTCATGGTCACAGAGAAAGAGGGAGAGCAGAGATTCAAACCCAGATCCTCTGACTCAAAAGTTTGCCTGTCTTTTCATTGCACAAAGCTACTTCCTCATATTTTTGTAATATGGTAAGCCAGTCATTTAGAGGTTATCCTCCATACAAGCATTAGAATAGGCCATCATAAGGTTTGTCTGCTCAGGGGCAATGGGTGTGTGTGTGTGTGTGTGTGTGTGTGTGTGTGTGTGTGTACACATGTCACAGAGGGAGAGAGAGACATTTTGTTTCTTTAAGAATAATTATTTATTAATACAAAGTATCTGTACAGTGCTTTTTGATTTAGAATTACATTATTTAACTTGATCCTCACAACAACTTTATGAGTTAAGTAGGGCAGTAGTATTCATCCTGTCTTAACGGATAAGGACATTGGGGTTCAGAGAGGTTCTTTGACTTGTCCAAGCTCAGACAGCCAGCAAACAGCACTTGGAGCTGCGGAAA